CTTCCCATGAATTATGCAGATACGACTCGTTTTATTTCCTGCCCATGGACACCGTGCATGGGCACGGCCATTCCTCCGCAACCCCTTCGAGCCCCGAAATTTCCGTCATGGTGGAGGATTACCTGTGCCACGGCTTGTGGAGGAACCTCCTGGCGAATTTTTAGTCGTTGCTGGTTTGTCGATCTTCCCGATCTTCCCGTCGTATCCAGTGGATAAAGTTTCCCCCCTATCCACCGTGTGTTGATTCTCTTTGGTGGTTTTCTCAAACGATACTTGGTACTCTGTCGCTATCTATATGGGCTCCGGTAACATCTCGCGAAAGAGCTGCTTCGGAATAAGAAATTCGCCCGCGACGCTGACACGGTCGGTTTGAGTTATCGAACGATTCAGGCACCGTTTCGTTTACGAGCCCGAGGCCGTTTTTATCGAGGGGCCGACGATGCACACGGCGACGGGAACTCCGTATAAAGTCTACGAGGTTTTAACGAGGACAACGATAACTCTCCCATTAAGGCTTGTAAATCGCGGAGGGAACTGCCCGATACGGCGCGCGTAAAGTGTGGTCGCGCGAGCGACTCTCCTCTCTCTCTCTCTCTCTCTCTCTCACACACACACTTCTCACTTTGTTTTTTACGGACCAATAATAATAATGTAAATTCCCGAACGATCGCCGATCGAAGAGAGTGAGTGGCACCGGCTAACGAATGTCATTGCGCCCGGGCGATAAGGATGAGAGTTTCTCGAGGGGAATTAAGATAAGCGACACACGAGGCTCGCGCCTCTCGTAGGCGTACAGCCGCCATGAAACTCGGTAGCGAGCTGCCTCTGACGAGATCGTTTCGGTGTCGTTCAGCGCGCGAACGTTAACATCGTAGATAATAATTATGCCGGTGATGGTTTTTATCGTCTCGTTTGGGAACCTCGATCTCGACCGTTGAAAATTTCGGGCCTCATTATTGGCTATGTAAATTTTATAACTTAAATATAAGGAAGGGTTATTACTGGTGGCAGTGTGCGTGAGAGAGGAGGTGAGGGGGAGTGAAAACGATTGGAAATTAAGATCTTTTTTATCAAGCTTTTGAAAGAATGGGTATCATTGATCATGCTAATTCTCGCACGAAAGTCAACTCGAAACATATCGCAATTATGAGACGAAATGCATTTATTCATTATTATTTACATCGTGTGTGTGTGTGTGTGTGTGTGTGTGTGTGTGTGTGTGTGTGTTCGAACAGCGATTTTCTCTCTCGGGTGGAAATAAATATCGTTTAAATAATATAAAAAATTATGTACATACAACAACATGGTGGGCCGAGCTGCCGGCGGCAACTCGATCGCTAACCGATCATAAACATTAGATTAATTTAACGATAACGGATTCATACAGTTCATACGTTAGCCATTAGACGGATACTTGGGCAGCTAATCGGGTACTTGGGTATTTCATCGCTCGCATTTCGCAACGCTTATGCGTGGAGAAATCGTTCGTTTTGCGTTCGATAAGCAGGAGAACTCGCTCCAAGCGAAAGCTTCTGTCG